CTGTTCTTCATAAAAGTATTTTATTTCCTTCATTTTCAAGTCAGAAATTGAGGCTTTACCTAAAGAATTAGTCAAATAATTGTATTTTATGTATACATATGGTGCTGAAGTTTCTACATTTCCGCTTAGGTTATGGAGTTCCATAGACAACTTGATCTATAAATTGCTTGAGAATGTCTTAAGAGCTAAAGTTGTATAAAAATCTATCTTGAGCTGCTGATGTGGCTCAGTGTTAGATCACTTGCCTAGGATTCTTGGCTTTCTGGTTGGTCCCACCACTACAACAAACAAATCCAACTTGATTTCCTTAGGAAAAGCTAAGAAAAAGAACAGAAGAACCTGATCGGGATGAACGTCTCAAAAAAGAGAAGCAAGAAAGAGAGGAAAGAGAAAAAGAACGGGAGAGAGAAAGAGAAGAACGGGAAAGGAAAAGACGAAGAGAAGAGGAAGAAAGAGAGAAGGAAAGAGCTCGTGATAGAGAAAGGAGAAAGAGAAGTCGTTCACGAAGTAGACACTCAAGCCGAACTTCCGACCGGAGATGCAGCAGGTCCCGGGACCATAAAAGGTCGCGGAGTAGAGACAGAAGGCGAAGCAGGTATGTAAAGCTCTGACAGTGTTTGGCTCATGATGAGGCCGTAGTGGACAGTCATGAGCAAAAAAATTACTAAATGATCTTTCATCATGGTGGGGCTTATGGATAACGTCATAAATTGAAATTGTTTTAAGTAAACGATGCACTAAGTCACTTGTGGCTCTTGTAGTACTCCGTAGAGTGGGTTTCTTGTCCTGCTTGGTTACACGGCTAATGGAGAACTATGAGTGATTGCTGACACCTGGGATTAGGATACGTGTCTAGCATGTGTTGCTACTGGGTGGTGATAAAAATCCTAAATTTGAAATAGAATGACTGATGATGCATATTACTTTTATGGTGTCATAAAGTCAGTTTATTTCATGGTGGACCATAACTGCATCCTTATGTGCTAGGTAGCTTTATGAGAGTTGAAAGGTAAGTTTTCTGTCTTCTTGGTTGTTCGCTTCTGTTCCGGGGTTTTAGATAATTAGTCTAGAGACTCATACCAGAACGGGTATAGCTCTGTGTTTTGTTTCAAAACAGGGTCTCTGTGTAGCCATAACTGGCCTGGAGCTCACTGTGTAGATCTGGCTGGTCTTGAACTCACTGGGATCTACCTGCCTCTGCCGCTAGAATGCTGGGATTTAATGGCAGGGTTTTCAATAATTATCCTTGAAATTTCTAGCGTAAAATGTTCTGTTTGTTTGTTTGTGTGGTTTTTTTGAGACACGGTTTCTTTGTGTAGCCCTGTCTGTTCTGAAGCTCACTCTGTAGACCAGGCTAGCCATTTATTTGTTTCTTAGGGAAACTTTTACTTAAATATTTTTAATTATTGAATAGTATATGCTTCTCTGAGCCCTTTTAGTACGGTCAGCTAAAGTTGTTTCTTTTTAAATTATTTAGAAGTAGAGATCGACGGAGAAGCAGAAGCCATGACAGATCAGAAAGAAAACATAGATCTCGCAGTCGGGATCGAAGACGGTCAAAAAGCCGAGATCGAAAGTCATATAAACACAGGAGCAAAAGTCGGGACAGAGAACAAGATAGAAAGTCCAAGGAGAAAGGTTGGTTTATTATGAGAGGTGCTGCCTATAGCCCAGATCTCCATTTTACTGTGCGCCAGAACAGTCAGCTCAATTTCAAGCTGTTTCTTTCCTTTCCAGCTCTGGGTTGTGAGAGTGGAAGTCCACCCAAGGCTGATCTTACTAACGCCTCATTACTCAGTTGGCAACCCTGAAGGTTTTCTATCGATTCTTCTGAGTTTGTATCATCTGTCGGGGTTGGGGGTGCTTAGGCTGTAGGATTTTTCAACCTTGTTTATTTGGCTATATTGTTAACTCTACAGTATTCTGTAATGCCTCACAAAATCTATGTGCATTGTTCATTGGTCCTGTTGAGCAACATTCACTTAACTTAGCATTTGACTGCTGTGTTCCCAGAAGTTGAACCCTTACTGTGCTGTGACTGTTTTATGTTCTGTCCATCTTGCTTTTACTCCCCTCTGATGTTGGCTGGTTTGTATTAGTTATATTGAAGGACTATAAATTTTGTCTTTGGCTGGTTTTCACAAAAGTAATTTCTTTTAGCCTTTACTTCAAGATAATGTTTTTAATCATCAAGATCTGCTTTTAAAATCTACTTTTGTTTTGGATTATCTTAGCATTTTTTATTTTATATTAGGGGTCTGTTTTTGCTCTATATGGTTTAAAGATGAGAGAAAGGGCCTGTTTCTGATTTCCTCAGTCCTGGTTCCATCCTGTCCTGTTCTGCGTGTCTGTTCTGTGGTGGTGTTAAGTTACACTGATCATGTATGTAGCACTCATGTTTTCTTTTTATAGCTATTTTTTTCCTAGATTGAGTTAAGAACTAGCAGTATACAAGGACTAATTTTTTTTTTTGGTTTTGTTTTTTTATGCCTCTGATCATTTTCAGTGAGGGGCACATGGTGCATCTCTTAGAAGCTTTAATGTTTGCCATTTTAAATTCAGAAGTTATTTCTCTGATTCAAAAGTTAATTGGTTATTACTTTATTGGAGAGGGTCTTTTGTCCTATTTTAGCAAGGCTTTGGCATGTTTTTGGAGTGAGGTGTCAGTTTTCAAGAGTTACAGGTGTCGAGTCATCTGGTGACTCTTGGATCAGATTAATCATCTATGTTTTGTGAGGCTTTTGATCTCATATTTCTATTATTGCATTGTTTGCTCTTTCCAGTTGTGCCACTTAAATAGACACATTTGTATAATTTCTGGGTAAAACAAAAATATGTCCTGAATTATTTACTGATCTGTTACAAGATGAGTTTAGTAAAGCTCTTGAGTTGGCTGTTTAGACTTGGGAAAAGAAAGAAGACTGGATACTAGGAAAGCTATCAGACCTGTCTTCTTTGGGCATGCTGCCAGTAGGTATGTGGTGAATCCATTGACTTTTGAAAGTTGTAGACACTTCTGAGTACAACCTTCTGGCCTTTGGGGTCAGATGTCTATAATAACAAGCATTTGATAATGGCAGGTGAGTAAGGCTGTTCACTGCCCCAGGTGCTATGATCAAAAAGAAGTAGTTTAACTCCACAAACGAGAGGTCATTTCTCACACAGCTATCTGGGTGCTCTCTTTGTTCAGAGAGTTCCCATTTAATCCATAACTCAAATCCACCACACATTTTTGATATCCTTAGGACTATTAAGATCTACCATATTTACATAGGCCAGAAGATAAGATTTTTGGACTGCTAGTCCTCTACGGGGCAACAAGACGACTCTTCCTTCTTGAAGCTGCCTGTGTACCGGAGAAGCCCATAAGGCACAAAGGGAGGACTTTCCCACAAGGTCAGTTAGAGCACAGTTCCCACAAGTGGACAGCCAGGCATGAAGCGAGTCTTACAGTTAACCACTTAGACATTGCTCTGTTTCGCAAAGGTTGGACCTAATACACACTCCCTTGCTTAAGAGAGGGAGTTCGTAGTGTCTGTAACAGCAGTCCATGTAGGGTTCCTCTCTTTAGCTATCTTTCCATCGTGATCTACTTTGCTAGACTAGTTACTCTTAGTTTCACAGAGCAAGTCTAACATTTTCTGCAGAATCTTTTTTAGAGGAATACTTAGAACTGGAGGGCAGAGTGCAAGTGTGCCGCTTTGCCTCAGCCTGGACTTTACAACGGCAGGGGGGCTGGAAACTACTTGTTTTTGTAGCTGAACTAAGTTTCAGTTTTTTCTTAAGGGAAAAAAAGCTCTCTTAGATGTCTTTACAGCTAATGAAAACGGGTCTGGAGCTTTGGATTTTTAAGATCCCATTTTCTTACTTATTTGTTTGTTTGTTTATTTAGGCTTTTCAAGACAGGGTTTCTCTGTGTAGCTTTGGAGCTTGTCCTGGAACTCACTCAGTAAACCGAGCTGGCCTCAAACTCACAGAGATCCACCTGCCTCTGCCTCCCGAGTGCTGGGATTAAAGGTGTGTGCCACCACCACTGCCCAGCTAAGATTCTTATTTGGTATGCTCCTCTTGAATATTTAAATAATCATGAATATTCTTTTAACAAAACATCACTGGGTGAACATGTCATTAAATATTTTTTTTCCTGGTTACCGTTTTGCCCTTGTAGCTTAATTAACCTCATGCTAACAGCTTTGTGTACTGTCTTTCATACCTTTCCCGTTGCCTTTGTATATTCTTTATCTAGAATGAAAATTTACTGAAGTTTTAAATTAATAGATGAATTTAGCAACTTTTCACAAGTTTGAGAAATTTGCTATTTTACTTTTGTTTCCTTTCAGGCCCCTTCTTGGCCTTTCCTATAAACTACAAACATCACTGGCGAATTCTGCAACTGTTTGTTGCAGGCTGTGGGAAATGGATCTTTCACCTCTGTTGTTTCCCTTATTAAAGAGTAATGTATTTGTTGTATTTCACTCTAAATTCCATGGTCAATGTCTTCTTTTATGGCAGAAAAGAGGGGATCTGATGATAAAAAAAGTAGTGTGAAGTCCAGTAGTCGAGAGAAACAAAGTGAAGACACGAGCACTGAGTCGAAGGAAAGTGATACTAAGAATGAGGTCAATGGGACCAGTGAAGACATTAAATCTGAAGGTGACACTCAGTCCAATTAAAACTGATCTGATAAGACCTCAGATCAGACAGAGGTAAGTGTATTGTTTCTCACTTTGATTAGGGCTTTTTGTTACTGTTTGACAGTGCAGCGTAAGTATGCACAGATGAAGATGGATCTAAGCCGAGTAAGAAGACATACAAAAGCCTCTTCTGAAGGAAAAGACAGTGTAGTCCTGCAAAACATTTTGAGGTACATTGTTTTGTCTCAGCTATTTTGTAGCAGACTCGTGCCCCCATTAGTGTGCCTCTTTGGAAATTATTGTCCACGTATGTAATATAGTCGCCATTGAAAGTTAATTATCTTTTTTTTAGGGATTTTGCTGTCATTTCTTTTTTTTTTTTTTAATAAAAAGGTTGAACTGTTTTTGTTTTTTTCTTTTTGGTATTAAGTCCATCTTGTGTTGGTACATTGGCAGAGACTTATGCTGTAAAAACTTAAAACTATTTCTGAGGCACATGTTGGACTACTTTGTTTTAATTAAACTGCTAGTATTTCTTTGTCAAGGATGTTTCTAGTTTTTTGCTTTATTGCCTTGCATTCTAATGCAGTTTGTTCTGTAACTCGAGAGCCAGTAGCATTGGATTGATGGAAGTGTAGGGTTTATGAATTATTGCAGCTGACTACCATACCTCACACAGCGTTGGTGTTGTGAGCGGCCCATGAAAAGCCAAATTAGAAATCAAGGATTCAGTCAAACTAAGCAGGTACTCATGCCAGGTACTCCTTTCTCTACCCACATCCGTGTTTGAATGCTATTGCCTGTGACCTTTACGCTTAACTGTTGTGTATCTTTTTTGTTCTTTACAAGAAGCACAGAGGGGTTTTTGTGTATTGCGTGAAATTTTACAAATCATGTTAACAGAATGGAATTTTTTTTCAACTGTGTGTAGGGATGCAGTGGTGCCCAGAATTAGATATCTTTAAAGAATTTTAAATACAATAAACACCTCATATTATCCGCCTTGTTACATTCAGTGCAATTCTCAAGTCTTTAAGAGGTATGTGTTTAACGTTTCCTACTGTGTAGGAGAATTTGCGGTCAGCCATAGTATAGAGGAATAGTCACTGGCTGAGACATTGAAAGCAACAGCATCTAGCAAGGACAGACACTTGGATCAGTAACATGAAGAACTGATTGATATCAGATGAGGTTGGGTTCTTAAAGAACTGTTTAAAGCTAGGTTTTATAGATATTCTTTAAACTAATAACTTCAATCTTTGGGCTAGTGGCGTGGGATGAAATAATCCTAATGAAAGGAAGTACCAATTAGAGGATATATTGGTGGCATTCCTGTTTTAGAAAAGCAGTGTAGGTATGTCTGTGTGAACCATTCACACATAGGCAGCACACACAGGCACATGGCTCTATAAACCACGTTGATGCCTTGATGTAGAAGCAATACATTTCAGATACACGTGTCATGGTTAGCAGTTAGCGACTGGGCCAGCACTTAGTCATAAAATTTTACCTTTTATATGCTGTCTAATTATCAATTTTCCCCAAATTTTGCATTGTAGGACTACTGTTGAAGATTTTTTGAAGAATACTGAAAACGGCATAAAGTGAAGATCAACATTAAAATGAGGTGAAAGAAAGCTATAGTGGCATAGAAAAAGTATAAAGCTCAGTTAGTTATTTGTTTTTTATTATTATTATTATTATTAAAAATTAATTCAGGACTGTTGTGACCTACCAGATTTCAGAACATGTGTTATTAGCACATATGCCACTTTGAAAACTTAGGTCCTGTATCATATTTTTTTCTTTAAGACTTTTTAAGAAATATTCCCTAAACATGTGGCTTGCTCAGTGTTTAATTGCAAGTTTTCAGTCTCGGACTTTGAAAACAGGATTAAACGTTAGTGTTCATGTGAAGCAGACTGAGTGGGACTCCATTTTTACACTTCTGCTATACTTAGCCTTTGGATTTAGACGTGAAAATAAAGTATCTCTGACTTTCTGTTACAGAGTTGATTGTCTGTGTCATTGAAAGGCTTTAGTGTTGCTCTCTTTCTAATAAAGCTGTTGACTCCAATCTAGTCCCTTGTTTTTAAATAAGAGCTACCCTGTTGATACGAGTGTTAGTGGATGTTTTTCTAACTTGTTCTGTTGAAGGGTAATTTTTATAGAACTTCCATTTGATGTTTAAATGGTGCTTCAATTTGGGGTGGTAATGAAGAAATTTGGATTTGCTTTTAATAGCAAAAGTGTACAGTGAACTAGAATATATTTTTACACCCATGAGAGGTTTCTTTAGTAGTAAAAGGTTCTGAATAACCTTACAAACTGTCTTCCTCTTTCGGCCTAGGAAATGATCTAGGCAAACATTAAGAAACTTTCAGCTAGTTATTTTCCTTTAAATTCTATACCAAAATTTTCTTTTAACCCAATCTTAATCCATTTAAAAATGTATATATTTCTCTGTATGGAGTGTGTAGTGTATATAACAAGGATATTTGAAAAACAAAGCAGGTGAATTTCACATGGAAGTAGCAGCATGTCTATACCTAGCTCCATCGACTGTAAAGTGTTATCCTCAAATACATTTGTTTATATATATACATATATATCAGAGCAGTTCCTTGTGACTTAAAGTTTTTTAATACTAGCATCAGTTGATAAAGAAACTGAGCAGATGGCTTCATGTTGATCAGTGTAAGGGCTCTTCTCACTGCTGTACCACTGTGTTCCTTCTAGTGTGCATTATGGGTCATTACAGAATTTATTAGCTAAAATACTCTGCCAAACTTTGATAAATCATGAAGCAACCACTTTTAGAGACACTATATGAGAAATGTTCATGGGGATAAGAGGTCCCCTTCCCCTGGCTTCCCCAGCTGATCTAGAGATGCAGCAGAAGGTGGGGAGCTGCCTCTGCAGTTGTACGAGATGAGACAGGTGGACATGAAGGTAGTTGTCAACCACAGTCTGGCAGACGCAGAATCACGCAGTTCCGAGCTCTGCTTTGTGTAGCTTATAGCTTGATGACATTGTTGTATTAAGAACATAATGTAAGAAATCTGCTCAAGTATTAAAATGCCAGATTGCTTTCTTCTGCCTCATCTAGACTCAACAGTGAATTTAAATGCAATACAGCAAATGGGCTCCTGTAAAAAGATGTCCTCTGTGGACACTGAGTTCTATTGATGCAGATACAAGATTTGAGAAAGCTCTCTTAGGGTGTCTGGTATAGAGGCTAGGTACTAACTTACTATAAGAAACATTTATGTTTTGTAGACCAAATAACTGTTGCTGCCATTTGGTGTTTATGTGTGTGAGAGTATAGTGAATGTGTCATGTCTTTTTGAAGAGCCAGTTTTAATCAAATTACTCTAATTTTTAAATCGGAGCAAGCAGTTAATAATCTTTTTTAAAGTGCATTTTATTTTGGCATTTTCTCATCTCATGAAAGTGTAACAGTATAACCAATCTCTATTAATTTATGTCCTGTAAGACTGACTCATAGTCCCATGTGTGCCTGTGTCTGGGGGTACGGTGCAGAAGTGTGTGTATGCGTGCCTGTGCCTGCATGTCTACTCTTCTGTATTCTTAAGCAAGTCTCAGTTATGCTGTTAACTTGTGTCTCTGGAAGACATAACATCTGATGAGTGTTTTCTCCGTAGTTCTCAGACTAATAGTCCTTTGCCTCAGAACTCTCAAGAGGATGGAAGACGAACAACTCCTGTAGGGTGTAGACAGACTAGACAGATGGCCTCTGCAGTAGGTCCCAGCTACCACTTTTGTACCTTTGTAATCATGAGCGGTTAAGTTGTTCATGTGTTCTGCTGATATGTTTACCTCTAGAACATTTCTCACTTTGAATACAGTTAGTGTTATAGGAGAGCCAAAGATCATTCCAGGGTGTAAGAACGTGGCTCGTAGAACCTAGGGATGTACAAACTGAAAATTTTGCAGTGGGAGTTTTTTAAGTTCACATCTGTTCTGTTTGTAAAGATGCATAGCTGCATTGTAGATGAGTGATGTGTGTGTGCTTAACCATTGCCTTGTATGTGCATGAAACAGTCTGTGGGGCAGCACTTCTTCAGGGTTGGTTTTCAAGCTTGCTTTTTTGAATGGTTTTTATTTGCTTGTGAAAGGACCCAGGATGACTGCATTTTAACTTGTTTGATAACTGCAATTGTAATGCTTGTTCTTGGTTTAAAAGCAACAGTCGAAGTGTTCAATCTCTGTCTTCCTTTACTCTTACTGCCTGCTCCTCTAATGAGTTCCTGATGTTGCCTCGTCCAAGCGCTTGGTGGGGGCAGCAAAGTAGGAGGTGGGGAATATACAATATAGATGTTTTTATATATGATGGTGTCCATCATATATGTTCTGAATTTGCCTTTTTTGGGTACTATATATGGAAACATTTTGAGATGTAGGATACAGTTCTCTGAAGTTGAGTGTGTTTTTAAAAAAGTGTTTCAAGTTAGTTGAAACAGGGTAAATGGCATTTTTATTGTGTCAGAATTACGGATTTTCTATTAAAATGCATTTTCAGAGTTTCATAGTTGGTCTGTTTCTTCTCAGCCATTCCAGACAGATCAGTTGTCTGTCAACAGGTTTTTTTAGGAGCAACTTTGGTAACAGTTTGGCACAGCTAAGTGTGCTGTACTCAGTCCTAGGTACATATTCTTGAGAAACTCTTAAATGTTGCCAGGAGATGGATGAGCAAATGTCTTAATGTCATCTTATGTAATGAAGAAAAGAAAACCCAGACCAACAAAGCCCTGGGAAGATCCCATCAGCAGTTGTGTCGGATAACTAGTGTGACAGACACATCCCCATTGCGGAATTCACAGGTGTGAACATGAACTTCGGCTCCACCATGACCATGGATATTGCAAGATGTAATAATGTCCCCAAAAAGCAAGCCACAGAAGAATCTACCCATTATGCTTGGTAAAAGTCAAAACAGGCTGTTAAAATACATGGTAAATGAAAGAAACACGAAACAGTTGACATACAGATCACAGTTAGTGGCTTCTTTGAGAATGACCTTGGAGGGCGAAGGGATTTTCAGAGGAATGGCCACTGTCTTTCTCAAGCTGGACAAGCTCTTTTCATTTTGAATTGTATGTTTGTGTGCTTTTGTGTATATGCTATATCTTAATAAAAGTTTTTAAGTGGGAAAGGTTTTTGGTGTAGGTAGTGACTAATAAACATACTAACTTAACCTCAGTGCATGGAAGATTTTAGAAGCACACTTTTCCCTTTTATCCTTTAAATGGTCTTACTGTGTAGCTCAGGCTAGCTTGGAACTTGGAAATCTTCCTCCACTTGCTTAGATTCTAAGAACAGCACCCCAGTTACACTACCGGACATGCGCACGGTGTGCGACATCTTTCCTTTCATTTAGATAGCAGCCAGGGATGGATGCGCCTTTCTATCCTAAGCTTTCCAAGGAAGGTTTAAGTGCCACGAGTTATTAATAAAAATGTGTACTCTTCAGGAAAAGCGATTAGGACTTGAAAAGTCCCTATAGGTGCTTAGGGTTCACATAGCCAAGCATTAGTTCCTAGCAGTCGTTCCTCCTCATCACACTCCTCGGGTCCTTTCAGGGAAGCCGAGGAGCGACCATTTATTTATTTTATTATTTATTTGCTCTTTTTAGTTTTCAGGACAGGGTTTCTCTGTACCCTGGCTGCCCTAGAATTCACTCTGTAGGCCAGGCTGAGGTCTGGTATTAAAGAAAGGTGTATGCTACCACTGCCTGGCAAGCTGAGGCTCTTAATGGAGCAGATGAGCAAGGAGAACAGGTCCTCACGTGCACACCTACTGACCTACCGCTTGTTGCTGCCTCCTCGCAGCTCTTGAGTTACGCCTGGACTACTTCCGTGAGCACAGCACAGAAGGAGGTGATTACTTACCAGTCTATCACTGTAACAAGCGGATTGATTGTGTGCATCTAGGAGTCAAGGGTGTTGATTTTATTGTAACTCATGTGTTCGGGGCTTTTGGTCTGGTATTCTGCTCTGGGGTTCATTTCACTTAGAAAAGTTTGAGAGTTATTTGGTGGAGTTGTTTCCTGTTTTTACTTTCAAGATATGAAGTAAAACTTTTAGTGCACTTCTTGAAGCTCTCAAGTTTTGTTTTAGGTCTTTGAGTCTGTAATCCCAGCATGTGGGAGGTTCGGGGTTATTTCTCAGCTACACAGGAGGTCCAAAACCTCCTACTAGAGCTCTCGTAGAAGCTCCATGTGTGCCCCCCCATTTTGTTTTATGCTGGAGTTTGCTTATTAATTTGGAGCAGGTAAGAATTTGCTCATTAGCCTTGTGGTTTTAGTTACTGTAGCCACTGGATAGCACCTACATACGTTCTGCCGTTAGGATAGTATTACCCTCCTAAGTAATTTGCTATGTATCAATTAAAATTTTTTCTAAACAAATTTATTTTAAAACAGTTCTCATTGTTGTACAGATAGTGATTTCTAGCTATTAACCTAACTAGCCTCAAGCCCCTGCCTAAATTTTCCTTATTATTGAAAGTGAAACAGGGGAGTTACCACTTGTGGATCCATCCTGTCCAGTCACAATCACTGTTACTGGAATCTTGGAGCTAGACATCTCAAGCACACAAATTCTCACGGTGCCCCTTTCATTAGAGACCTGGATATCGGTCACACTGCAGGTGCAGGAGTGTGAAATGAATCACATACCATAAAAGCCATTTTCCTCCGACTGTTAGGTAATCCTTACATCAAATCTCAGCTGCTGGGAAGTTGGTAATAAGGAAGCAGTGAACTCTCTGAGCTGAGAATACAAATAGAATGTGTTGGTTCACAAGGAGCCCTGGTGTTTTAATTAAACTCAAGGATCAGGGTGACTTGATATTTGAGGAGAAATGGCTATGTAAAGACGGATGGGTGAGTGGGTATGGGCTGGTCACAGCTGAGTGCTTATAAAGTGACAGCCATCTAAAACACGCCAAGAGTCCTCTTGGCTTGGGATGTGACCACCAACCTTGTACTTCGGTAAGCCAGTGAAGCCGCCACCAGCTACAGTGATGCAAGCTGTTTTCACGAGCTGTCTTAGCCTTAAGCCGATTGTTTACTCAGATCCTAAATCCACTTCATAGGTAAGTGGGACTGGGCGAATATGCTACTCAGTAGTAGAGTGTCAGTACTGGGGTGCAGCACTTCAAAATACATTTGGCCTCTTGTGGGTAAACAGCTCCTGCTCAGAGAGCTTGGAAATGAAATTTTCCAAAGTTCAGATATAGTCAGCTGATGGTCACGTGGGCCTAGGCTTCGTGGTTGGCGATGACTGCAGATCCCGCTCTTCTGGAACTAGTAAGTCAGTGTTGCAGCTTCGCTGTTGTAGCAGGGCCTCTCTGTAAGAGGTGACACCGTGTGCCGAGTGTGCTCATACTTCCCGCTCTTCACCAAGAGCTCTAGCTCCTGAAAGTCTTGGAGTCTTTGAATGTCTTTGTCCTAAAAGTTGGGGAAAGACTTAGTGATTCCAGAATGCTGTGTAACGTCAGTGGAATAAGGCTTAATTATCGTTGGCCATTTCAGGTTAGCCTTTGTCTCCATGGTGAATCATCAGCAGTTGGTTTATTTTTTAAAACTTTATTTTTGAGTCGAGTTCTCTCTGGTCCTGGCTGGTCTAGAACTCAGATCCATCTGCCTCTGCTTCCCCAAATGCTGGGAGTATCAAGGTGTGTGCCCGTGAGCCTAGTTCATATTTATTTTTCACGTTAAAGCGATCTGGAAAGTATGATTATCCTGTGACAATGGTAGTTTACAAAGTACATCAATGAAGCTGCCAGAGGCATGGGGGGGGGAGTTCCTGGAACTCAGTGAAGACCAGGCTGGCTTCAGAGATTGTCCGACAGCTTCTGACTCCCAAGTGCTGGGATTAAAGGTGTGCACCACTACACCCAACTATGTGGGGGTAGGGGGAGCGGATTTCTATTTGTTGGCTTGGTTTTTAAGACAGGGTTTCTCTGTGTAGCCCAGGCTGGCCTCAAACTCAGATCTCCCTGCCTCTGCCTCCTAAATACTGGGATTAAAGGTGTGCACCACCATACTTAGCTGGAAAAAGACTTTTCCCCCCTTTTTTGTGAGGGAGGGGAGTTCAAAACAGGGTTTCTCTGTTGCTTTGGAGCCTGTCCTGGAACTAGCTCTTACAGACCAGGCTGTACTTGAACTCAGATCCTCCTGCCTCTGCCTCCTGAGTCCTCGGATTAAAGGCATGTGCCACTATTGCCTGGTGAAAAAAGATTCCTAAGGAATGAAATCTATTAAAACTTGAAGTATACTTTCAGCCTGGGGGAAAAATTCAAAGAAACATTTCTGGGGATTACAAAGATGCACCTTCCCCAAGTGGTAAGGACGTGCCACGTTCCAGTCTGAGGACAATGCTGGTTTTATTAGCCAGTCAGGGTTGCAGAGATTGACAGAGCTAAATGTAAGTTTCTTAAATTGGGGTGTCAATTGTCAGGTGCTTTAAGAAATGTCTGAATTAGGTTTGTGGAACCAGCGGAAGTCATTGGCCCTCTGGGCAGTTTCCACCATGAACTTGGTACTTAGAAACTAAAGGATTGGCTCTGCTGAGCATTGTTCACCCACAGAGTGTGTATTGGCGGTGTGTGACCTACCTTTCTGAGCAGCGTGTTTGGCAGCTTCCTTATCTTCTCCACTTGTTCTGGGTGGATCCCCAGTTCACAACAGCTCACGTGAAGTAGGTTCTGGTAACTCAGCTCTTGTCTGTGCAGTTCAATTTCAATGAAGTCATTTTCTTTGGAGTTTTGAATTCTTACTTTAAGCACCAGCGCTGATCACCCATAAATTCAAACATAGATTTTTAGATAAAAAACCCATTTTAGAGATTGTTGACATCAGTTATCACAGCAAAGATGATCCTAAAAACCTGAAGATAAGTAGTCTTGGAGCTATTGTAGATGCTTTATAAGCTGAGAGTAAGAGTGCTGGACTGGCTGAAGTTGTGTGCCAATGTCAGGTCTACTGCAGACACAAAGCTTGGAGGTTGATACCAGCTAGTCACTCTGGGGGCATTTTGTTTAACTTCTTGAAAAAGACTTAAGTGTCTGCCATGTGTGTGCAGGTGCCTGTGGCCACAAAGACTGTCAGATCCTCCTGAGCTGGAGTTCTTGGCAGTTGTGAGCTGCCAGATAAGAACCATACTGGGCTCCTAGAAGAACAGCTTACTGTGCTATCTCTCTAGCTCCTATTTATCTTTGGAAGTGGGTCTCAGACAGACCTTAAACTCACCTACTTCGGCTGTCCAAGTGTTAGAAATTATAGGCATTCACCTCACACTTAGCTTCTTCCTTTCTTGGAGTTGAGGATCAAATCCAGAGTGTTAAATATATGTAGGGTAAGCACTTATCCTGAACTATACTTTGAGCCTGTAGTAAGAGATTTATGTATGTAGTGGAGGGCTGGAGAGATGCCTCAGTTAAGAGCACTGGTTGTTCTACCTGAGGACCCTTATGATGGTGACAGCCGTCTGTAATTCCAGTCCCAGGGGATCCAGGGCCCGCTTCTGGCCTCTAAAGGCACCAAGAACACATGTAGTTCACAGACACACATGCAGAAAAGCACCCCTGAATATAAAAGTAAAATATGCAATGGGTATTTAGTGCATTGGCAGCATGTAGCAGTCATGGTACTTAGTTGGCCATTTGAGAAGTTACTAGGAAGTCTGGACAAGGTGCTGGCCAGTGGGTGTGGTTCTTCTGGCATCTCAGCTAGGATGAGTCAGTTTTTTGGGGACTATGGCCTAGAGTGTCAATCTTGTCAACTTACTATCTCAAGAACAGTGAACTAGACCTACACTGGGTAAACCACGTGGCGAGCACAGGCCTGCATGGTCCTTACCTGGACCCACGGTGGTGTCAGTTTTGCCATTACATGGATCTATTGACAAGTGTGGATTCGCATTCATGCCTTGTTCATTTTCACCTGGGGGAGAGTTAGGAAAGAGATAGGCTGAGAAGGAGTAGTCCCCAGCCTCCGCTTCCTGCTTATCACCCAAGTCTATTCTTCCGTCTGACAGGAAGGCCAGGAAAAGGACTAATCAAATTTAACCTTAACAATAAAAGCTTTTTTATTTCCAGGTAGGGCATGCCACAGAGAATGTGTAAAAGGTCAGAGCACCCCTGTAAATGGGCTCTGAGGATTGGGCTCAGGGCTTAGGCTTTTGTGGCTATCCCATAGCCCCTAGTTTTGCTCTTGAGGAACTTAACTACCAGCCAAATCCTGAAAGGAAGTCGATTCTGTGTTTTAAAGTGGTGCCTGATCTGGGGAAGATAAGCTCAAACTGTGCCCATGAGTTTCTGGCTTTGCTATGCAATGTTTGTGTTTCCAAGTCTCTAGCACAGCTGCATAAGAAAGAGAATCATTAAAAATCTTCCTTAGAGACAGGTGGATCTCTGAGTTCGAGCCAGCCTGATCTCAGGCTACACAGAGAAACCCTGTCTCAAAACAAAACAAAAAATACTTGAAAGAATTGAGTGGTGGTGGTCCACACCTTTAATCTGGGATGCAGAGGCAGGTCGATCTCTGAGTTTGAGGCCAGGCTGGTCTACAGAGTGAATTGAGTTCCAGGACAGCCAGGGCTACACGAGGAAACCCTTTCTTTTAAAAAAAAAAAAAAAAAAAAAAAAAACTCGAGGGGCCGAGGAAATTGCTCAGGGGTACAACACTTGCCCGTCATGCCTGAGGCCATTGGTTCACTCCCCAACACCACAGAGCAACAGTGAAACTCCAAAGCCATGAATGGGTATTCACAAGAGGGTAGAAAAGGCAAGTGGTAATAAGGGGAAATTGCAGTGGTGCCCAGGTAAAGACAGAGCATAGTACCTAAAAGAGCTAGAATGGGTACTTTCAGGCCAACAGCCCAGAACACTTAAGCCTTGGGTCTCCAAATGCAAGCCCTACTTGTACAGCAGCGTCAAATAGCTCCCAGCAAGGAGACAGTCCTGGTCAGCACAGCCCCTTCCTCTCATGGCAGTAATGAATGTCCCTTTTCTCAGCACGAAGGGATTAACGAGGTTTTGTCTCTTCTTCCAACCTGAGCCAATGAGGTGACTCAACCCTATGCACAGGTGGCTGGGGCGCATCTCAGACACCGCTTGTCAGTGGAGCACTAGGTTTGTGTATCTCTGATAACTCTCAGGAACTTTCCCAAATCTAATTGGGAGGGGACAAATCAGGGCCTGAATTCTACAGGAAAATGAGGCTAGTAAGCCTTACCGCACGGGGTGGCTAGAAGAAAGGAGTGCTCAGAAGGCCCTCCTAGCACCAGATAATGCTGCTGCTGGTGAGGGAGAGAACCCTGGGTCCAGTTGCTGTGCTCACCACTGGCCCACTGCCTATGGCACTAGCCACCACCTGCACACCGCCCTCTGCCACTATTCCCTTGGAGGACTGTCGAAAACAGGATCCACTCACCTGCCAGTGGCTCCCGGATGTCCTGTTCAGGCTCCTCCATGACAGATGAGTGGCCCCTCTCAAGTTAGTATAAGCTCCCAACCAAATGTGTTTCCTAGAGTCTCAAGTATGTGTAGTAAGATAGTATATACTGTTACTGGCCTTGTAAAATGGACAAGGTCGTGTTTATTGCCAAGTGCACAGGCTCAGGTGTGTCACGTGACTCATATAGCACGCTGCAAGTGAAGGCAGAGACTGAAGGTCAAAGCGTTTCCCTTCCTAGGCTGTGATCCCTGGATTTAACGCAGGGGAATAACACTTGGGTGGGAATGGAGCCCTTTGCTCTGGCCTGAGTACCAGGGACCAACCAGGCACCCAGAACCCTCCACCAGAGTCAGGCTTTCCTTGGGAAATGTTTGTAGATCCGTATCAGGGATAGAAATATCAAGCCCTCTGTTCCCGGGATTGGACAGTCCTGCTCTCCCAGCTCCTCCCTCGTTTGCTATGCATGCCTGGAAAGAAGCTGGAAGCCCCTGGCCATACCTGGGCAGGCTGGTTTGTGAAAATGATCTCTTGATTGTAAGCATCAAAGGGCAAGAGGCTAGCTGAAGGGTGGGTGGGGCTGGACAAAGTCCCCAGTGAGGCTGCTGTCCCGAGCTCTCAAAAGCAGGCTGTCAAGTAGGAGGAGCATGGACTGAAGCCAAATGTGTGCGTGACTGGCGTTAACATTCCTGTGACAGAAGACAGCAAATGGACAGTCCATCCAGTGAGCCTCCAAACACCAGAGGAGCCTAGAGGTCTTAGATGAAATGCACACCTACTGCAGGAAACTGGCTGCCTGGTTGGGCACCTTACAACAGGTCCGAGTTAGGTGATCTGGGGTGCGCTGCGGGCACTGGAACCAGTGGTTAAAGTCCTGGTTGTAATGTACAACATGGTTGAGAATCACTAATTTACCCAAATTGCTTCAGGTTTCAAAAGAAGAAACTGAGGTCCAAGGAAATGAAATGCTTGACAGTCATGTGACCAGCTAGGCACAGGCTGGCGATAGACTTGGGTGGCATGGTTGCCCCCTCCCCACCATGCTGATGATGCCTTCCTGCCAGGAAAGGAGAAGGTAGGAGTGACCCACAGGAGGAAGTAGGTCTGCCTGACCTGAGCATGGATATGGAATTGTACTTTGGCCAGCTGGGCTTCCAGGGTGTACTGAGCCCGAAACAGGCATCCTGGATCACCCCACCTGTTGAAATAGGCTCAGGGGACAGGAGCTGCAGCTGACACACTGAGGGAAAGCCTCTGCTCGTCCCTATACGTGTTGTGTCGGCTTGTCCTCTCAGTGCCCACGTGTGCACTCAGAGTCACCCAGGGGTGACATTTCCTTCCCATCACAGCGCCACCGGCCCTGATTTGAGACTGCCTTCACTGTACAGCTTCCCTGTATCTCATCTTCTCTAACTCATGCTAGGATGTCACTGGTACTTAGAGAGGACTATACTGTTTTCCACAGCCAGGAGAGCTAGATTCCCCTTCATAGATTTTATTTTCTGACCATTGTTGTGGGAGGTTTTTTGTTTTGTTTTTCCATATATATATATTTCCATTTAAAAGTGTACTAAGGTCAGGCAGAGGTGGCACACACCTTTCATCCCAGCACTCGGGAGGCAGAGGCAGGTGGATCTCTGTGAGTTCGTAGCCAGCTCTGGTCTACAAGAGCTAGTTCCAGGATAAGTTCCAAAGTGACAGAAACCCTGTCTCGAAAAAAACAAAAACAAAACCAGAAAAGTATACTAGGAACAGGTAAGATGGGTCAGTAGGTAAAAGGGTCACTAAGCCTGACAACTTGAGTTCAATTTCCTGAACCCGGTAAAGAATGGAAGGAGAAAACCAACTCCTCAGTGCCACCCCTGATCTCCACGTGCAGGCTTTACCACTGAGCTACACTCCCAGCTCGTTCTTTCATGGGTCTTCGCATGCATTTGGGCAGTGCACAGATAGTGACTGCCTTTCTTTTCAATGCTGGTCTCTTTCCTTTTCCTTTTTCCTGAGACAGGGCTTCTCTGTGTTGTCCTGGAACTTGCTCTGTAGACCAGACTGGCCTCGAACTCAGAGATCCACCTGCCTCTGCCTCCTGAGTGCTGGGATTAAAAGTGTGCTCCATCACCACCTGGCTCCACACAGGGTTTTCAGGGATGCTCGTACCAATCAGCCTTTGAAAGCAGACAGTGCTCTCCTGACCCCTCCGCCAGCCAAGGGAAGGCTAGTTGGCATAAAGTTTATAATAAGGACAATGTCTTTTGGGGAACAAAGATCAGGCAGCTTGTACAGCCACAGCCACACACATGCAGGCACACACAAACACACACGCATGCATGCACAATTAAACTCAGATGGGGCAGCAAGGTGGTTTTAGCAGTGGGTGCTTGCTGTGAAAGCCTGCAACCTGAGCTCCATCCCTGGAAGCTCTATGCACCCACTGTGGTACCCACACGTCCCCATCCCCACACATCATGCTCATACGAGCGATAACTTCAAGATTGTTTCCCCACACCTTGGGTTCCGCCACTGGAAGCTGTTTGTTAACATTCCTGTCTTTATTATTTACTTAGAGACAAGGTCTAATGTATCCCAGGCTGGCCTCCTACTCCCTAGATGGTAGATGAGAATGACCTTGAATTTATGACACCCCCCCCCAAGTGCTGGGCTCATGGGAACGCACCACCACACCTGAGTTATGTGATATTGGGGAGTGAACCTGAGGGCTTTGTGCATGCCGGACGAGCACCCTACCAACTGACCTATGCCTCCAGTTAGTTCTGTTGTTGAAGCTAAGGTACACAGTGTTTTGGGGGAAAGGTTTTTAATGACTGAGGAAGGAGATGTGGAGGCAAGTAGTTTGGTAAACGGCCTCATAGCAGCTTCTGCATTCCCGTGCGGTGTGGGAAAGATAGCTGGGGAGTCCTGGTGATCCTAAAAGGTCCAGTGGTGTGGAACCACTGAACCCCAAAAGCCTCCGGTGAGTCTGAGACCAACACAGTTTCTTATCTGATAAACAGTACTGGGGAAAAACTCAACTACTGGCTCGATAAAACACAAGCTTGTTGGTTTTGGGTTTGAAGTCTCCCAGCTGGTGGTGCTGTAGAGAGCTTACTGGGTTTTAAGAATGCTAACTAGGAGGTTAGGTCTAGTTGGAGGAAGTGGATCCCCAGGGGAGGAGAGGGGAGGGGAGGGGAGGGGAGGGGAGGGGAGGTCTCTCCTGGGCCACTCCTTTCCTCGAGGCTCCCTGACTGCCCTGAGGTGAACATTTTGTTGTGGCCTATGCCCTTCCGCTTGATGCTTGCCTCAACACAGTCCCACAGAGGTGTTGTCACACAAACATGGATGCAGCCTGAGGAGTCTTGAGCCAGACACAGAAGAAACAACGTGGGAAGTTTACAGATGAGGTGAACAAGCCTCCGGGCAGCACATAGATGAATAGAAATGGGTTAATTTAAGTTGTAAGAGCTGGCTGCAGACATGCCTAAGCTATCGGCCTAGCATTTATAATTAATATCCAGTCTTTGGTTATTTGGGAAGCAGCTGGTGGGACAGAAAAGTCCGCCTATGGGGCTGGAGAGATGGCTCAGTGGTTAAGAGCGCCGTCTGCTCTTCCAAAGGTCCTGAGTTCAATTCCCAGCAACCACATGGTGGCTCACAACCATCTATAATGAGATCTGGCGCCCTCCTCTGGCGTTTGGGTATACATGGAGGCAGAAAGTTGTATACATAATAAATA